GCTTCTGTCCTATTCTCCCAGCCAAAGTCCCATTCCAGGAGCAGAGAGTAGCAKAACTTCTCAATCTTGTTGTGACAACTAATGTTGTGTCCAGAGCGTTTGGCATGGGAAGGCTTCAGCCATTTCCATGTCTAGACTCGTTTCTGTCTGCTGCTTCCATTTTTGTCTGACTGAGCAGAATAGAAATAGGGATCTGAAATGAGATATTGCCAGCAGTGAAGAGGCAAGGCCATTTCCCTTCAGRAAAAAAAGGTTGCTTTTTCAAGGAGTTTTCATTGCAGGGGAGGTTTGGGAGTGAGGAGCACCAGGTTACCAATAGAGTCCAGATGGCACCACAATTTGATAGCCAGCACCATCTCAGAGACTCACCCGGTAAGCCGTCTTTGTCTAACAGTAGTCATCCAGAAAATGAAATGAGATTAAATAAAAGCTTGAGGATCGCGTGGTCCTGTTAATATGGCTAGCAAATGCCAAACTGCAAAAAGACAAGAGATCTTTAGACTGTATCAATACTGGTATATGTTTTATTTCAGTGTTGTAAGCTTCAGTATGAATTTCTGAAGTGAAAAGTACATAAATCCTGTCTTTTCCCTATTGATAATATCTCCRCATTATTACAGTCTAGTGATGCTTGCTTTAAAAGATAACTTAAAGGTGTGCATTAGTCTCAGATAATCAGCAAAGACCCCAAAAAATTATTTGAGAAGCACTTATGCAGAACCAAAGATCTTAGTGAATTGTTACCTTAAATTAATGATGCAGTAAAAAGCTGCTTTGAGTTGATCAGCTGGCAGTAGCATTAAATGAGGTTGGATTTGAAAGTTGTTAGCAAAATATCTATGAGTGTGTGCTGCTATAGATTTATATGCTAGCCTGGTGTTTTACAAGGCTGAAATCTGCAATGTGCTCTGAGTCTACAAGACCTCCCGGACCTCAGTGGGGGCAAAGAGCACTTGATATCTCTTGGTTTGCGCTCTTTAACATGCTAAATCTCAGGTTAGGCCAGTGTGGCTAACAGTATTCATACCTTTAACTCCCTGCTTAATCCCCAGATGGAATGAAAGGTCTTCTCTCAATACTTATTAAAGCTCCAATTTTATTTCTCATTATTAAATCATGAAATTGGCCAAAAATGTTTGAACTAAGTGAAAGGAAGAGAGATTTGTGAGAAAATTGAAGCCTCTGTGAGGAATTGAAGAATAATCTCCAAGGATGAAGAAAGTTGCAGTTGTCAAACCCGTAAGCAAAAGGATCAAAAAGCTAAAAACAACTAAAAAAAAGTTGCATATGTTCAAAATCTTCTCCCTCACCCCCTCCAAAACCTCTGGTGATTGAAATATGGCAAAAATTATTCTGACAACTAGCAGAATTCATTAGCTATTCCTTCCACTGCTTCTGCTGTTAACTTGAGTGACTTCAAGAAATTCTGTTCTCTGTGGGTCGGCTTCCCCACATTGGGCATTGATGCTGCTTCCTGAGGACAGCAAGAGTTGTACAGCATTATCAGTATGAGTTGGGAATTAACTGGATTTAACCATTTCACTCTGGTTAGAATGAGGCCCACATTTTCTTTATGGTTAACATTGTGAGTAATTAAGCGTTGGAATGTCTTTTTTACAGGCTGTGGTCAATTCTCCCTCTCAGGTAATTTTTCAAGAGCACACTTCCTCTGCTACAAATCAAATGTGATGGAAATTAAGGGAGTATGTGCCTTGTTTTCTGGATGTTAGCTGTGTCTCCCTTCTAGCCTTGGTATTTACAAACTCATGAACCTGCTCAGCACTGGTAAGTTGTTGTCCCCCTCACTCCCCCCTCCACAGTGAGTGACATTTATCTGTGGTACATTAGAAGTATGAGTTATTGGAAAAGGCTCTTGACTGCAATTTTTTTTTCAGATATTGGGGATGTTTCTGTCAGTGAGTTTCATCCAGTCCATCTCTAAAAGCAGCAGGCTAATGAAATTGGACCTAAATTGCTTTTTCACCTAACATGAATTCCGAGGAAGAATAGCCTCATAACTGGACCTTGTCCTGCTTGAGTGGGACAGCTCCAGCGCTGATGAGTTACGTTGTAGGTATCCCTGACAGCATCCCGTCAACATCCTCCCAAGCCAGACAAAGGAGAAGCATCTCTAGAGGTGACTCTGGTTCCCATGGCCTGTTGAATCCCAAAGGAGGTGGCTGTGGGAAAGAGGGGAGCCTGCCAGAACGGGGTCACCCACGTCTGCCAAGGGTTGCAAAAGTTTTGGCAAGTGGATACTTGTCTTCTAAGGAGGAGTAGCTTGAGATCCGTCAAAGTTATTTCACTTGAACAACAAGAAAGCTGATGATAAGCGCATTCAATCCCTGCAAGCTGGGGCTGAATTCAAGCTGGCACCTACAGGTGAAAGACTATATTGTGCAAACAATTTCCTGACTTGCACAGTCCCCATTAAAGCGGTCTTTAATTTAGGCCAGGGAATACACTGGCCATTTTCTCACACTTGCAGCGCTGACCCAGTGGAGGTTAATGCAGGCATCTTATATCAGCCTGATCTGTAACTATAGAAAGCAGCAGGCAAAGCGAGTTTCGCATCAAAATATAGCCTGCTGGTGCCAGTTTCGGCTGAAGTACATTCCCTCTCCCTCTTGCTCCCAGCAACTAAATCACATAGGTAAGTTGTGCAAAAACATGAGGATTGTTAGCGAAAGCGCGTACTGCCTGAATGCACTGGAGTTCTTTATCTTGCTGAAACAGATCCGCAGCCAAGGGGCGAAAGGACAAGCAAACGGGGACAAAGCGCTCCCTGGAATGTATAAAAAGAGCCGAATTCAGGGCGCGCAGGTAGATGTTTTTAAGGGGACATTAACAAGGCACTGCTGAGCTACCCGGGCCTGCGCAGAAACCAAATAAAACTGGTGTTGTGTCGACAGAGTACTAAGCAAGCACACAGAACTATATTCCCTGCGTTAAAGGGAAGCCAGCCTGCAACAGCCCTGGGTCCATTTTGGTGGTGGCAGTTGGGGCTCTAAAGCTGGAAACCGCAGCTCAAAGTGCCCAATTTTAGGAGAGGTGAGAGACGGCGTCCGTCTCTCACCCCCCAGGACCACCATGTGATCTAGGTCCAGATAGGGCAGAAAAGCAGGGATYAGCAGCTGTCTCTGCCTTGTGCCCCCCCTGCTTTGCCCCTCTTTGCTCAGGAGACCTTTAAAGGGAGGAGAAATTAACATAATAGAAGCCCTTGGAGTTTTTTTTTTCCTTTTATTATTATTTTGAGTAAATGGGTGTAGGTAGGAAATAATAGAGCATCTGGTGGCCGTGAGAGGGCCAGAGACCAGGGTCWCTTGTGAAGCTGACATTGTGCGTTCGGGCCACACACAGTTCCCCTGACGTGCCCRTTTTCCACCCATTTTTGCCCACTCTTGGCTTGCCGCTACTCTTTGTGCTGCCCTCTGGGGGCACAAAGTCCGGGGCCTGAGGGTGGTTCTTGGCGGAGAGCTGGATGGCRGTGGTGACGCATCCCTGTGGCGTGACGTCACGCCGCGATGCCGGGTGACGTCAGAGCGCGCGGGCGGGCCGGCCGCGCGCATCGCGGGCGTCTCCATGGCGACCCGTCACGTGACGGCGCGGCGCGCGCTCATGTGATGTTTGGTTGCCGCGGAGCTGTTTCCGGGTCAATGCGGGACGCGGCCGCCGGGCCTGGGTGAGCGGCACCGGCGCGGCGCGGCACGGCACGGCACGGGGGG